AAACTGAGCCTCAAATAATCCTGCCCCCCCCCCCAGTTACTCAGAGAGTATAAAAGACATCATAAATCCACCTCAAGCCCCACATATATAGATGACCATGCTTCGCTTTATCTTGGGAAACTTCTGTTCCTGATAACTGCTCGAATCTGTCCGTCTAGGAACAGTGAGCAGACATCTGAGCGCATGTTGATGTGACAAATACCAGGTACATTAATAGAACCGGACTTGCCCAGACTTGTTTCGGATCTACTAACCCGCATTCGAGGCAGCGTTTTAAACAAATTTGGGAGCCGCCGGTAAGGTGCTGTGTAACCAACAGGCACGTGATGCAAACATACTGCAGCCAGGAAAGGTCAGAGGTTAAGTGTGCAGGTCTTCAAAGCTCTGTATCTCTCCAGCTGGTTCAAATAGTTTCAGCTCCAAAGTGTTTTTAGCAATATTCCTGTCAGTGGAAGAATTAGTCTTCGCAACTGGCCAGCAAATGTTTGACCCTAAAGCTTCGGACCGCCCGTTTGTCTTAACGTCAAACATCAGTCTCGTCAACGGTCCTCTGGGACTCAGTGCCAACACCCCCTCCCCTCCTCCTCCTCCGTCAACGGCCGTTTTTGTGAAGGGGGTGGGAAGTGTTTTTTCAAAAAAAGTTCCCTTAGCCTGCATCTGTTCCTGCATCTGTTCGTGGTGAGGCAATGAGAACGCTTGTGATTCATAAAATTAATTTTGGTCCAAATCCACTGAGGCGGCTGTCTGTGCCTGTTCTTATGATCTCATCTGTTTTACACAGTCCAAACATACGCTACGTTAGCGCGCACACACACACACACACCAGCCCTGTACGAGACCACAGATCTGGGTCATTTTCTCCGCTGGAAAAGAAGAAGAAGGGGGTGGAAAAAGGGGGAAAAAAAGAAAAGAGAACTGTTGTTGATATCTCTACAGGATGACAAAGATCAAAGTTTGTGTAATGCTCTGACTCAATCACACAGACGTGGATGTGACCACGAGGGACGGCCGACCCTCGCTGTAAGGGCACATCGGGGGGCCCGAGCGATGGAAACCTTGCAGTGCGGGCGGCACACGTGTCAACAGCGGCCCCCGGTTCCCTCTGCTGCCCTGCCAAACACTGGTTGGGGAATGACTAACAGACTCCCAAGAGGCAGCAGGGAAACCGGAGCAAAAAAAAAAAGAAGACTAAAAGAAAAGAAACAACTGTCAGCTTTGGGCCTGAGCTGTATTTATAACATGAGCACAAAGGCCTGCACAGAATAAGCATCTTTTAATCTTCTCTGGCACATATGTTCTGCTCAAATGTGTTTATGTCTCTCATAGATCAAATCCCAAACTTTTCATAACTTAAATAGAATTAGCGTTTGACCGTTTGATCTCTGGAGATCTCCCAGGGGATCCAGAGGGCTTCAGATATGGACGTCATTACTTGTGTTGTCCGTTTACTGGACTCTGTGGGGTTTTTTTGTCATCAGACGAAGGCGTCACTTCAAACGATTTACTTCATTTAAGAAAAACTTAAATACAAGGTGTGAAAATGAGGCCCATAATTCTGCTGTAATTATTGTATTAGTCAAATAGGCCACTTTATAACTCAGCGAGAGACACTTACGTCAAGCACTGCAAGGTTTTATTGCAAATGGTTATAGAGTCTGATTCAGCGGGGAAATGGCTCCGCTCACTGAGACGGCATTCAGGAAGATTCTGCTAAGAGACCTAACCCCCATGTTAAAGCAGTGGTTCTCAATGTGGGGTACGGGGTCCTTGAGGGGGTTTTGAGGGGATCCATGAGACTACATCTTTCTAAAATACTCCCTGCAGCCTGGATGTGTATCAATTTGTGGTTCCCTGACACCAAAAAGGTTGAGAATCGCCACTTTAAAGGAATAATTTGACAATTTGGGAAGTAAATTTATTTGCTGAGAGTTAGCCTAGCTTAGTAAAAAGGCAGGAAGCACAATGTGTTAAATTAGTGAGCTTTAAAAGTGTTAGCAGGAATATTTTTGAACTTTGGAGAAAGCCAGGCTAGCTGTTTCCCTCTGCTTCCAGTCTTTATGCTAAGCTACGCTAATTGCTTCCTGACCAGATGTAAAATAGTCAAATAAAATACTAACTAGTGACATTCGTGTTTAGTGCTAATCAGCAAATTATTCTAACACACCATATTAAGGTGGTGAACATTGTAAACTTCATACCTGATAAATGTCAGCATGTTAGCATTTTCATTGTGCGTGTGTTAGAATAGCTACAACCTTACTGCCAGCACGGTGTAGTCTCTTAATGTTGTTGCACTGCATTTTCTAGTTATCACTTCCCATTTAAACTATTTTAAGCCAGTATTTTTAATTTTCCTTTCATTTCTTGCTTAAGACGTTTGAGTTTCTTTCAGTGGAATTTTTTTTTATGACTGTTTGGCCATGAAGGCTTTTGTTACTTCTGCCTGAGATACAGAACTCATCATCATTGTCACTTGTGTGCTGGTGAATTTTACTTTTGCGTCAAGAAGTTTGGTTTTTCTTGACATCTGAAATGAGCAAGTGTAAAAGCTTTTGTGAGCTGGTTAAAGCTTTAATCACTGCTGTGGATTGTGGTCGGCACTAAACAGGAGCAAAGTACACATTTATGTGTAGTAAGTTACTGTCCAGTGCCTGGACCAGAATTGAACCATAAAAAGGTGCCAGTACCCTAATTCAGCACAAACCTAAACACAACATAACCCTAATTCTTTTGCTGTTTCTTAGAAATAGGTTTTAGAAATACTCAGGTCTTGCCAGGGGGCTTTTAGGGCATGAAAGCATCAAAAATTTTATTTTTAGGCAATTATCTACCAACTGAAAAAGTCTCTTGATGTACTGTGTGTCAGTTATTTAGTGTCTGGTGGAAGTTGTGACTTTTTTATGAACTGAAAGCTTCCTTGTTGTAGTGTCACTGACTCAGCAGTGCAGCAGGGTTGAAGTCACTGAGGTTATCAGTGGTCATATGACAGCCGGACAGCCGTTGCGCTATCAACCGTTTGCTGACCCCAGGTCAGCCGTGTGGGCTGCTTGATGAGAGGCCTCCGGCTTGTTTTTCTCTTTCTGCATCCGCTCCTCATTCCGCTGTTTCCATGTCTTTTTTAACCCTCCCATCTCCATCTCCACACACACACACACACACTAAAGCAGACATGCATAATGTTTTTCTAGTTTTCATCTTTACAGCCTCAGTCATGCAGATCCACTGGGAGTAGCCCTGATCACAAATCCTCAAACATAAACACACTGAAAACAGACGAGGCTCACTTCAAATGAACACATCCCTACACAACTCATTAGACCTTCTCCTGGAGATCTACACCAGAAGCCTCCCTTCCTCCTCTCTCTGCTCCTCCTCCTCGCTTTCCTCACTCTCCACACTTGTTTGCTTTTCCAGATATGACAGGAGGAGAAACAGGAGAGCTCCACTTCCTCAAATAAAGCAAAAATTACTGATCATCTTAGAGCCTCTTTTATACAAGCAATTATATTTTATACATGCAATTAAAGCACTCACCCTGTTGTTCTGTCTCTCTGTTTTATGTCTTAGGTGTGTCTGATGTGACGCCAGCGGGCTGGCTCAGGGAACACAACTTCAAAACAATGTAGACACCAAAAACCAGACAGAATAAGAGTCTGAAGACCGAGCCGACAGAAAGGAGGGTGAGTTCGAGGAGGAAGAACAGCTGTGCAGAAGATAAGAAGTGAAAGAAGCAGAGAGAAAAAGAGGGAAGCAGCAGACTGTGAATCATTAACTTGAACCTTTTGTGTACAGCAGTGTCACCGACTGCTTCCAGTGAAGTGTTCACTCACTCTCACATCTCCGCCGGAGAAGGATCAGCTCTCGGTCTTCTGAGGGCCTCCGACCCACAATCCACCTTGTGTGTTGAAATCTGAACAGAGGGAGACTCCAGCCGGCGTCAGCATGTGCCATGTCATTGTCACCTGCCGCTCCATGCTGTGGACTCTGCTGAGCATTGTGGCCGCGTTCGGAGAGCTCATCGCCTTCATGAGCACTGACTGGCTGGTGGGATTCCCCCGCACCCCGGATGCCGTCTTCGGCCCCCATGGGGCCACCACAGCCGGAGAGGCCTACAGGCCTACTTTAGGCATCTACGGCCGCTGTATAAAACTGCCCCACATGCAGCGTGGAATACTGTGCGGACCGTACGCCATACACTTTGGGGAGATTGCCAGCGGGTTCTGGCAGGCGACTTCTATCTTCCTGGCGGCAGGGATCCTGCTGCTGTGTGCCGTGGCGTTCATCTCGGTCTTCACCATGTGTTTCCAAAGCATCATGAAGAAGAGCATCTTCAACGTGTGTGGACTGCTGCAAGGGATCGCAGGTAAAAGCTGCACACAACACGTATATTTAAACTTTTGGTACATATTGAAACCTCTGGAATGCTCCCTTTAGAGGAAGATCGTTATGAACCTAAAGTGGCTTTTCTTCAGATATAGACGTATCAAACAGACTCAGGTTTGTGTCACTGAAGAAATGGTGTTAAGGCGGCAGTGTACTTCATCAGAAATGCTTGTTAGATAGTCAAACAGCTTCAGAAACCCCCTCCACTCCTTCCTTTTTGTCTGAGTTGAGGACTTGTGTCTGGCAATTTCTGTAACTTTCTGAAACCCTCAATCCGACATCCTCACCCACATTTAATGCCGTGATTCAACAGGTGTGTGGAAGTGAGAAAGCATTTCTCTCTCTATTTAATGTCCTCCAGTTGTGGTTCTTTTGTAGCACGACCCGGCCGTTAGTCCCACGTATAGGTGTGGCGACAACACCTCCAAGCAAGACTCAAAACAGCATCAACACCACATTGCAAACTTTATTCCTTGGTACTGTCAGTGTTGGTAACTCCCCGTGTACACCTAGACGATAAAGAGAGAGAGAACCGAGGAACCTTAAAGCTAACTCAGTTCATCCAACCTTTTATTGTTTCTGCTCATTCCTGTGGCGTCCACCGTTCATCAAGGTAAATGAAAAGTTTCAGCTGAACACATTCATTACCGCCGCACCGCAACTCCCACTTCGAGAATGATGTGTTTGACTCTCGTGGAGCCTTCCTGTGAACTTTTACCCAAGCAGTCAGAAGTTTTGGTGGCTTGTTTCCACCCTCAGAGCTGTCACTCGGAGCAACTGCCACCCAAATATTTACTTTCTGCCCAGTCAGCTGGAGGTTTTCTGACGCTGAAGTTGAACACGCATGCGTATCTCCATTTGTGTGTGAAGGGTGTGTATCCTGTGTTCATGGTTGTGTGTTTGAGGCCAGATTTCAGACCACTTTAACTCACTGTGGTGAATTATGGAAGGGAGGAGGCCATGAGATCATGCTCACTGAACCTCCTCTTTTTTCACAGACTGTAGCTCTCGGCTTTCTGGTGATTATGGCTGTCCTCCCCCACAGTTGTTTATTTGGTGCAGGCCCAAACAGAAAAAGGTGGGCGTGTGGTGAAGGACATGCCAAGCTGTAAACCCAGCTCTGTGCAGGCCTGTTGACCTTAGAGACTGCTTAAATCCATAGTGAATCATGAATGGCTACTGGAAGGCCCGCTCGACGCAATAAAGCCTGGAAAAGCTTCATTTATTTAAGACGTTATTGCCCATATTCTGTTTGCTATTTGCTTTATATATCTGACTATAGCTGCATGAGTGAGATGAAGGGTTGAGGATATGACTATATACTACCTGCTGACCATTTTTAAATGATGACTGTTGCTGTTGCTGTTGATGACTGAATGTTAACTCTGAAATCTTTCTTTTCTGCTGACTTTAATGACTTTAATGACTTTTTTCCAGACTCATTTTGAAGAAAAACTGCATAAAAGGGTCTGAAATTACACCTGATGGTCACATACAGTACTGGTATAATATGATGCTGAAGGACTAAAGCTACATGCAGCTACAGTTCCAGACCTGAACGGGGCTTTTTGTAATGTAACCTATGAAGTTAGATAATGGTATACTTGTTGGCTTTTAAAAGTACCGCTGATTTACTACTGTAGGTTGTAAAGCTAGTTCGCAGCAGTGCAAGCTAACGTTTGCAGCTTGTTTGCTCACACCAGAGCATTGTTCTTGTGTTTTAGATTTAGGAAATGTGATTTATAAAAAATAACACAACCCTTGCAGTTCTTAGCAAACTGGTTCAGCATGTGGAGAAACTCAGAGCTTGAGCTGTGGTGGCTGAGCTATGATTGGACAAACACAGCTGGGAGAAGGGTTTAGCAAAGTTTCAAGTGTAGAAATGGAGCCACATCAATACGGCAACCACAGATAGCGTTACATAACCTGACAGCGCTCTATTTACGATCTATATAAAGGATGTCTGGGACACATGACTAAGGTAATGAAAGTGGGGAAATGCACCGCTGAGTCTCACTGTGGAGAGGATGAGGATGCGGAAGAGGAAAGAGGGCGAGAGGAGCTTCAAACAGCTGAGGAGGCGGGAGGGTTTCCTTCGTGCCTGTGGTGCTAAAGGCCGATAACCCTTTACTCAATTCAACCACAGGAAGAGATAAGACCCGGCATACCTTCTTGTCTGACATCTAACGGTGTCACTGTGGAGCTTTTCTTTGTCTCTCTTCAGTTCAGTCAGCGCGCAGTCTTCAACGCGACCGCTGTTCTCTCATGAGGCCTGTGAATGATATCACCCTCACTGATATCCACCACCAGCACTACCACACCGACTTTCTCCTAATCACTATTTCCATTATTCGTGCCGACCCTCCGGTAATAAGAAAACTGGAGCCAGACAGCAGATGTTTGGGGAAGTGATTGACCTCAGATGGGAAGATTGTGATGCCGTTGCCAGAGATGGTCACGTCATTGCGCCGGAGTAGCTCCTATTAACCTAATCTTCACATACACTGATGTCACTCTTTTAGACTCTTTTGTTCCCTCTGACACACTTTCTGCCGCTCGCAGTTTCTCCGATGCCGTTAAAGTGACGGTCAGTTTGAGCTTAGGCTGAAGGTAAATCCATTCCCTTTGCTTTACGTAATCGAATGGCTAAAACAGACGCTCTTCTGTTGAGGGTCAGTCGGGTAAACTTTCCTGCAGGCGCGCAGGTTGGAGGGCCCCTAAAGACTTCTTGTACAGCAGTTAGACTACCTGTAAGTGAAATTCTCTGTACATTTATTATCATGAACGCCTTCCTCGCTCATCGTCACTCATGTCGAACTTGAGCCGGGAAAAAAAAGGGGTTAGAGACAAGACCTGCAAACAAACTCGGCCGTAAAACTGTGTCCAATTCTTGTGCCTTCGGTTTTCGAACGCTTTTATTGCCTGCTATAAACTTTCCCTCCAGCCGTGAGTCACAGACCTCATCACAGGTTTAACCGTTGACCGTGACTCAGCCGCCCAGCTGGAAGCGAGGGAAAAATGACAGTGTCTTACAGGAATTAAAGCAGCTTTACTGTGTGTTTTTGTCTTACATCAACGGATAAGAAAGAGGATTCCTGTGCATTTAGGGAGCTGTGGCTGTTAAGGCAATTATACATTATTAGGAAAGCGTTTTTGTGTTTTTTTTATACTGCATATATCTGTAACTTTATATAATACATTATAACTACTTTAATTGGAAAGCAGTAGTATACCTGCTATAAACAGCAAAGGCCATATCATGAAGGTATGCAACCTGTTTATAATCAAATACTGTTGGAGAACTAATAGGTAGATATCATGACATGTTGAGTCCATTTGTGCTGCATTAAAGCTGCTATAATCAATCAAGTTTTACATTAACAATGGATCAAATGACTACAAGTAATGTAAAAAGGTATTTGCTCAGCCACAAAGAAACACCTGACTTTCCTTCAGCTCCGAGCATTTTAGCTGTTTCCACCATACTCAACCCTTCCAAAGTTAGCAACCAGCTGGTGAACATAGTTGAGCTTTTATGTCCCTCATGAGTTGGTGGAGATCAGAAAACAGCTACAATCAAGTGAATATTGGACTTAATGTGGACACCAACACGACCAAAATAATGCTAATGTTGCTTTTATATCTGTTGGATGTGTAAATAGTTAACTTTGCTAACATGATTGCTATATCAGGTCCATAAGATGTGTGTTTACTGGGGCTAAAAAGTCAATAAATGCACCTTTAAGAACAAATAATACATATGAGAAGCAATACCTAGATGTTAGCGGCTCTGTGAGGCTACATGCTAACCAGCAATGTTAAAATGCCTTTCGTTTAGTTGCTAGCTCATTAGCTACACCTAGCTAAAGAATTAGAAGATTAGAAACACCTGCACCTTTAATTAATAAGCAGCACAAAGTAGAAACTCTGTAATGACCATAAAGGTGAATCCACACCTCTCTGAAACTCTGAACTTTACAACCTTCATGAAGGAAGGATTTATTGCAGGGCTGTTGGATTGGACTGCTCTGGTTGTATCTAGGTGGACCTGGTAGTAAACTTAAAGGGGTTCACAAGTGCAAGTGTAGATATCAACTTTATTATTTAGTATTGAGACCATGCACGTTTACATCCAAATGAGAATACAGTATGTCATCAAGAAAAGTTGTTATAAAGACCGCTGTACTCACAAAGGTTCAACAGTCAAATCAAGAAGAGAATTAAAAGTAAAATTGGAGAAAATTTGATCAAAAAGTCATTTTTAATGCAAAAATGTCAAGTCCATCTTCTTAAATGTGTGTAACATTTAAGAGGATCTATTGGCAGAAACGAATATAATATTCATAGGTATGTTTTTATTAATGTATAATCAATGTATAATGAAAATAATTATAGTAATAGTAATATTATATAGAAAAATAGTTGAGTTTTTGTTACCTTAGAATGAGAGTAATGAGAAGTTTCTCCTACATGTTTGGAACTGGAGGGTGAGGCGAGGGTGCTGAATGCCACTCAAACCTAACATTATAGTAAATTAAATACCTTTTTATTCTCACTTCATGTGAATCCCGGAGGGTGGTGGGGGGAGCGACCTAGCTCCTCTTTTTTTCCTGGAAAGAAGAAGAGTGGCCAGATTTCGTGGAGCTGAGCGGAGGCCTGCTGTGCTGTATTACAGGGTGGAGGCTGTGGGAGCAGAGGTTAAAGAGGAGGTGGTGGTGGTGGAGGAGGAGGAGGGCCGGTGGGGGGAGGCAGCTATCAGAAATGGATGGATGGTTGGAATTGACAGTTTGGAAGTTAACAGAGACAAGAGCCAGCGCGGAGGGAATAGTGAGGCTGAAAGGGTGGAGTGCAGTGGGATATTAGGTTAGAAGGTCCAGCTTGTAGGGGGGGTTGTTGATGTGGGAATGTGTGTGTGTGTGTGTGTGTGTGTGTGGAGAGGGGGGTCTTAGGAGGGGTGGGGTTGGGAATTAAAACCATACCTTCAATCCATCACTGGAGCCGGTCTGGACGTCAAGGCAATGCAGCAACATGTGGAAAGAATTTATGACCTAGTTTTCATTTCCTTGTTTAATACGATATTGGGCGCTTTAAGAATGGGAGGAGAAAGAAAGGAGAGGAAGCAGAGAGAGAGAGACAGTTTCACCTCCACACTTTGTTTTTACAAAGTGAAGCAGCGAGACGTGCTGGCTGAAAGAGCGGTTCATTTAATATCTGTAATTGTATTATTGTAAATGTTTCCTCCTGAGCTTTGATTGGTGGCCGCCTCCTCGTCTGGAGGACGAGCAGAGCTGAGGAAAGGATGGAAAACCTCATGACATTAAATTAATAGAAGAAATGACGCATGATCAGCTGCTATATGTGTGTGTATCAGGATTAGTGATTAAAAGTGTTGAAGGCCAAGTCAGCGCGGCGGTAGAAGTGGGTCACAGTATGACAGGAAGTGACCCCATCCTTCCCCCGAGACGCCGGACACCGGAGGGTCAGCCAGCAACTGGGGCAGGCGGGAAAAACCCTTTCGGCTACCTTTTCCTGTTGTTCTCTGCTCTCAGATTCAGGTTTAGGTCTCTCTTTTCCCGGAAGTCTTGCCACTATTATCTTCAGTCACGCTTCAGAGAGTCGGCGTAACGTTTTTGGATGCAGGAAATGTTTAGTAGAGATTTTTTGATGAACTACCATCAATTAACGCTCCCTCTCTCTGTCTGCCCTCCTCGCAGGTCTGTTTCTGATCCTGGGTCTGATGTTGTACCCTGCTGGCTGGGGTTCAGACAAGGTCCAGCTGTACTGCGGTCCCGACGCGGCTCCGTACCGGGCTGGGGCCTGCTCCATGGGCTGGGCCTTCTACACTGCCATGGGCGGCACCGTGCTCACCTTCGTCTGCGCCGTCTTCTCCGCGCAGGCCGAGATCGCCACCTCCAGCGACAAGGTCCAGGAGGAGATCGAGGAGGGGAAAAGCCTCATCTGCCTCCTCTGAGGCCCAGATACTTTTATAGAAGGAGGAGGAGGAGGAGGAGGACGAGGGAGAAACAGGCCAATAACAATCAACACCTGCCTCTTTCTGCCTTTGCTCATGAGGCCGGTCTGTGAAAATGGAGGCCCCTGCATTGTTTACCACTAAAACTGACTCTCTTTTTGTCTCTGTTTGTGTTTATGTGGGAGAAATCTACAAGTGCCAAGTTTTTTTCTCAGTGTCTTTGTCTCTCTGCCACTAGAGGTGCTGTGTATGTCTATCGTATTCATGTTAACCATGTGGAACGCCACCGGAGGAGGCGCTGTCTGTCGCCACATGCCCTTGTAAATAAGTGTGATTATATATATTTTGTACATATCGCAGAATGATTGGTCAGCTTGATCCAGGCTGGGCTGATGATGTCACTCTTGCCTTAAACTACACTGGTGTTTTTTTTTTTTGTCACCGGAAAAAAACCACGACCAGCGAACCTGGATCTGTTAACTGTTTGCCACGTGTGAGTATTAACTCAACAAGGGAACCACTACTCAGTCAGAATAAACTACTCACAGGATCAGAGTGGATGTCCTTTTTTTTTTTTAAAGCTTACAGAATGTACTGTTATTTGAGTGATTAATTGTGTTTGCAGACCCTTGAAATGTATCGATGGGAGTTTATTATCCACACAGACTGCACGAGGACAAGCAAAGGAAGCTCTGTGGCGCATTTTCTTTGTCGTGTGTGTGTTTTTATTTTGTATTTTCTTGCGAAAAGCCGTGAAATGAAGTGAGCTTTAAATCCTAGCCTAAGCTGAAAGATGACCTGTGAAGGGGTCTGCGTCTGGTCCTCGTTCATCCTGTAATCTGTGCACGAAGACATGGACTGAATGATGAGGACACACACACACACACACACACACAATGAAGTATTGCTGTCATTAGTAATGTCTGGTTTCAGGGAGTCTGTCGAGTCATGGATAGTGTCCTATCTGTTCCCATTTGTTTCTGCCAAACGAATAAAGAGAAGGGAAAAAAGAAGGTATTTTTTTGTTTTTTGTTATCCAGCGAAAGTCTCACTGTTGGGGGAGGAGGAGAGGGAGGGAGAGGGAGGAGGGGGG